ATGTATATATTATTATACACCAGACCTGGACTTCTTCAGAAAAACTGTGCAGTTGTACTTTAAATGCAGTTTCAATTAAAGGCAAAATACAGTTACATGCATTGGACAAAGAGGTTTTCTGTTTCTTTTTAAAAAATACAGTTTTTATATATTCTATGTGAGATACGAGAAGCAGTTTAAAAAAAGCTGACAGAACTTGTTACAGACCTTTATTTATTAGCTCTGTCTCTCAGGCTGGTTAGCCAACATACAGATTTTAGCCTTATCAATTCAGTTGAGAGACAGACACGTGCCAACTTATCTATGACTGCTGTTCTGCATCCTGGATGCCGCTTGAAAATGAAACTCTAAAGAGTTTTTGGAATCAAAATACATTTGCTCTATGCAGTTCCCACACAGGCAAATACCTTTCTGAAGAAAAAGGAGATACTACACAAGAGGCTTTGTAGATGACAGGATTTTCTAGTGTCTAATGTATACAGATGCATAAATCTTGTTGATTTATGCCCCTAAATTGCTTTATGTGCTCACAAAATTTTCCAGCTAATTTAAGATGTTGATTTATCTAAAGTCTTATTGGCAGAAAACAGGGAAAAGGCTTCATTCACTGAGCATAATTAATATCTGGACTTCTTAAGCAATCCCTATTTATATGGTAGTGAGCAAAAGTAAAATCACAGTCCCCATCTCACATTATTTTCTCTTAGCCAAAGGTAAACATCAACTGCTCATCGATAAAGGACAGAAGAAAGCCTTGGAAGAAAGACTAGAGCAACAGCATGGATAAAAAGACTTCTCATTCTGGTCAAACAGAAAACAATAAAGCTGGCAAAAACCATTATGGCGTGAGACACCTTCTCTTTCCTCCTCCATAGAAAAGGAAGGAACAACTGTGTTCCAGATTACAGAATAAATTAACTTCAGCTTAACACATTCCTAGTCTCTACCATAACTGAAGTTATGTTACCACAGAGACAGCGAGACAAAATCCTGCAATTATTCTGATACTTATCTTCAGTATTTGCTTTTAAATCAGTGTTAGCAGAGAGACAAAATACATAAGAGGAAGAAGAGACAGTACAACTCTATCTTAAAAACCTATTTGCTGTCCATCTGCAGTTAAACTTTAATTAATTTGGTTGCTGCATCATTTTCTCCAAAAATCAAAACTTTAAAAGCTGCAATTAAAAGCTAAAATATGACTAAATAGTTTGTTTCCTCTCACACTGAAAGGGCTGCAGGCAGCTGCTGGCAGTGACATTTGACTAGAGCTATTTCTTTTTCCTTCCAGCTAAAATGCATAGATTATCTGCACAAAGATCCTGACTTTACATATCTGCACACAGAGCAGAACAATAGCCTAATTACTGGATTACAAATAATTTCCTTCCTAGACCGCTTGGTGAAAGTACATAAAAGAATGCCCAACTACATATATTTGGCAAATTTTGCTGAAGCTGACCAAAAATAAATAATTATGTAAAATCAAAATTCCATATTTACACAACAGATTGAGCACTAATCAATTATTTGGTGCTTTCTACATGAACACACTACACTCAAATGAATGCTGCTGCTATCATGGTTAGACAGCATCATGTCCCTCCACTTTATAAGGCTGAAGCACTTTATATTAGAGGATTGTAGATTCCACCACAACAACTGTGATTCAAAAAGTATTAGCTAAAACATGCCACAAAAACACCTATCCAGAAGCCCGTTGTACATAAAAGGACAAACAGCTATCTCTACTGTGGACAAAATTGGTCAACTGAGACACAGACTACTCCACAGAAGAGAGACATTTTTTAAAGGCACGTTGTCGGGCAACCTGCTACTGTGGCAGTATCTGTGGCAGGCTCTTTGGCATTTGTATCATCAAGAAAAACAGAATTTTCCACCGCTCTCACCCCTCTCTGAAAATCTCTGACAAAAAAAGCCCTACACAGAGCTTGAAGGATTTCTGTCACGGAGAAGGGACTGACACATGCCGCCTAGACTTGATGCAAGCCACAGGAAGAGGCACTCTGTGCCATCTCTGACAGAGCAAATAGGTGTAGGAGGGCTGAGAGCAATGGACACAGCCAAGAGTTCTGTGTGACAGCGGCCACAAGGCGACAGCAAACACACAAGGGACCAACACGGTGCAAGAAACTCACATCAGTAAACCGGTCAGATTTTCTGCTTTCTCCTAATCATAACTTCTTCCTGCCACAGACCCCATAAAATTTTTCTTCTCCCTCCCCCCCGTCTACCCTCAATATCTCAGCTGCCATAATATCAATACCTGCCCAGCTGACTTCTTCCTGACAAAGAACCATCATTTCCTCTTTGTAGCAAGAGGGCTGCAAGCAGGCATATACATTACAACCAACCTCGAGAATTCTCTTATCACAGGTTTTGAGTACTGACTGTTAATTGAGCATATCAGATACAGTGGCAAAAAAAAAAACCAACCCCCAAACCCAAAAAACCTATCACTTCTCCAAATACTGCTTGGCATAATTGTTTGATACTATACTGCACAGTGATTCAAGCCTTGCTGAGAACTAGCATATGCGTTCAAGGGGATTCACCTAATCTCTAATATTCACTCTCTGATTTTTAACCCTCCCACATAAAATGGTATAGTGGCCAAATATTGTGATGCCTAACATTGCAAAGTCAAAAATTCAGCAAGAGTGGTTATTAGGAAGCCTTAAATGCAATTAGATTTATGTGACCTGCCCTAAGCATTACCTTAAAAAGCAACTCTAAAAATAAAGCAAACTGCTCATGTTTTCACATAACATATTGTTCTGAATGTGAGCATTTCGAAGACTTTCAAAGGAGTGAAAGTGCAATGGAGTATTTCCAACTTCCCAAGAACAAACCTCCTCATCAAAATACTTCTCTCTCTTTACATTGCAATCCTCTTAGAAGATAATATTCTAAAAATATTAACAAATAATTTCACCATGCAACTGTTTGCAGGGCAGCCAATATGTCTCTCAGCTAACCTACACTTCCTAAGGGGTAAGAGGAAATCCTGTTTAGAAGGAATTTCTGGGTGAGCCTGCTACACTGTGAAGGAAAAGTAATTTTTAGGCCCAATTTCAGTACAATCACTGTTTCACCAGAGCAACTGGTATGAAAGTGGGAGAAGAAACAGAAATTATAGAGGCTATCAGCTCTTGAGAATGCTGCATCTCAGAAACTCTATCAGGTACTCACCTGCTCGGTCATACAGGATATGAGATCGCTGTAGCCCTTCCTTTACATGCTCTTCTGTTATCAGAATGCCATCTGCAGAGCTACCTTTGGTAATATTCAAAGGAGTGGTCTTTCCCACTGCTAATCTGGCCTGAACTGCTAACTGGAGCCCATTCAGTCCAGTCCTCGCATCACCATCGCAAAGGTAGGCTAGGGTATTTAGAGCTTTCTCCTCTATGTACACCGGGAATCTGCAACAGAACAACCACACACTGTTAGCCCCCATCACGCTCCTCTCCTTGCGTATTATGCTAGAGATGGCATTTGTTTGAGATGCAGCTGGGTTTAAGTATTGTTCTTAACTCATTCTGTCATGATTAAGCATTGCAGGGCCTGGGAGAACACTGTAGGACCTGACCCCTCCTCCTCCTGCCCCAATGCATGTTAAATACAATTGCACATGAAAAAGGTAAAGCATGAGCTCTCATCTGAACCCCCTTTTTTTCCTCATCTCATATAGTTCAATGGAAATGAGAGTTAGGGTTAATGCCAGGGTACAATTCTGGCACAGCCAGTTGAACTTTAAAAGATTCTACTCCATCAGCATTTCATAGCTAGCACTTCAAATTCCTCATGGAAGGACAATGAAAAGGTAGGAAGCTATCTAAATGCACGAGAGAATATAGTGCGGTATAAAGTAACTAGCATGAGGTTTTAAACTAACTACCTACAGTAACATCTGCTATCAGACATTCTTTTAAAAGCAACAATTGGAAGAACTGTTTACATTGTAAAGCATATATGCATCCTACATTCTTTTTTTTTTTTTAAATTTTAACAGGTATTACAACTTAGTCACTCAGGTACATAAAATATCTTACTAGAAAGAAAAGGCATCCCAGTGCATGCAGGTCACTGTTCCTGCCACCTACTACTCCAAGTGTGCCAGCACTATATAAACACATGAAAAAGGCCAAACTCCAGCGAACAATCTAAATGAACAAGTCAGGACGATCTGAGAAATGCAGCGACAAGATCTGCTGAGATCTTATAGTGGGTCTATGAAAAATCTGGGAAAGTAACCAAGTCCTCCAGCTCTTTCTCCAGGTTTTCATCTGCTGCGCTGCAGTCCCCACTCTCAGAGCACATGCAAACCAACTCACCTCTGCACATTACATATGCATACTGTTGAGGATTTGACCCTCACACTTCAGTTATGTAGACAAGGTAGTTGCTAAGGTGTTTGCCAGGCAGAGCGTACAACTGATTTGATTTGGAAACAGCAGCTGGTAGAGTTAAAGCATGGCATAAGAAATGGCGCTAACTTTAGCCATTTCTAGTAACTGGACTGAAAATCAAGGATGACATGTATCAGTGGGGATTAATGCACAAAGCTCAGCGTGAGAGGCAATTTCGTATGAAACCCTTGCGCGCCAAATAATTAAGGATTCACACCAGCCCTGCACTTCATTCACCAGAAAGATTTATTACTGTTATTACCAGTGGTGTACAAAAAGGCAATGCCAGGGTTCCCAGACACACATACCCACTAATCTTCATTATTTGCCTCCTCTTCCTCCTTGCAAACCCATTTTGCACTTGTCACACAAAAGAAAAATAGAGTAGGTGCTGGAAAAACTTCAAAGTCAGTATTTGAGCCCTCTCATGCCCACATGTGAGAGGGAAAAGCTACTAGAGCTGCAACCTTTATCCACAGCACTGCAAGTGAAGGCTGACAAATGTCTTCTAGGGCCATAATCCATGCTGCAGAGAGTAGGCAGCAGGAATCATATCCTGTGGGAAAAATATATCTATCTATATACACATCATAGTATGACAGCACAGGGACTCAGTCAGTCAAGTATCTCATGCATCAAATTCCTTGAAAATCAGGGAGCAATGTTCACCCTTCAGCACTACAGATGGGCACCGAATTTTTCTATATGCAATGAAAGAAGCCAGAAAAGCAAGCAAAAGCTGTTTTTAAAAAAACAGCAGGCACTACACACAGATGTCCTGCTGCTAATACCTCCACCAATACGGAACAAAACCAAATATGCTGCACACTGAGCAAACACTTTGGATACACCAGCAGGGCAGACTGAAGAGAAGGTTTCACCTGCAAGGACTAAGCTCTTTGCCTGCTGTTGACCACCATGAGCTTGAGGCTTCCTCACACCGACACCCGCAACTGTACTCAGCAACTGCAAATGGAGAGGAAGTGTTGAGAGCACTAAAAAGCAGGTACTACGCTTGCAAGAAGCTAAGAACAGTCTGTCCCAAACAAAGTTGAGGCCTCAGAGCACTTTTGCCATTTTTTTGCTAATTAGAAGCTGGGCAAGAAAGCTGAGTTGTATTCCTGTCTCTTCAGTTTCATTATAGGACTCTTAAGTGCCCTGTTGACTCAACACAAGCAATTAGCGTTACAGGTACTGAAACAAATATGCACAAGGAAGTACAGAAAATCTGGTTACGAGCAAAGGTCTTGTCCGCTTCCACGGTGAAATCCAAGTTACAGCATATTGGTAATGGAAATTCTGCTCCAAATACTGTATTCTGTATTAGGCTGATCCAGTCCATGTCTACAACAATAGCACGACATACAGGATGTGATAAAGAACAAGAATAAATGGAGAAAATTTCCACATGCAAGCTGTTTGCATAGCATATTGCCAACAATCACTAATTGGAAATAACATAATGCTTCCCTGTTCCATAATCTCAGCTCCATTCCCACTCAGTATTTCAAAATAGCAACACTTTATACTCAGAATAAATGAATTCAGTTATTTTTTTCTGAGGAATTAAAATCTTAAATTCCATTTTTTTATGATTTCACTAGGCAGGAGCATAATTTCAAAATCAGGATGACAATCATTTCAATACCTCGGCTTCCAAAAGACACTCGCTGTATTTTACATTTTTAAGCCCATGCTGTCTTCAGAAGCTCAAGTGCCCTACAACCTTCCACTTTACCTGACTTCTGCACACCCTAGAACTGCAAGGCAGAATAACTCCCATGCTTTCTGACCTCTTCCCAAACTCCTGATCCTCTTGCAGATGGGTAATCTTGTGGTTTTTTCACTCTCCAAAATTAACACCGAACACCCACTGGATGCCAATGCTCAATGTTGGTACCTTGTAACAGATGATACTTGGAGACAAAAACATAAACAAGCCAAAAGGGACACCCCAGGATCCATCGCTCACTGAGCTGAAGGTGATATACTAGCTTAAGGAATGGAAAACTACCACTACAGGATAATAAATCCTCCTTCCAATTCCTCCTGATCTCCACACCCTCAAGACTGTACCAAAACCAACACGAAATGTATGATAAACTACCCATAAAACCCGGACGACACTTCAGCGTTTGATCCAATGACAAGAGAGTGTAGGCAGTATCAGAGTAAATATAAGGAAGTCCATGCAAGGAGAACCTGTATGATGAAACATTTAAAAGTAATTGAGCCAGGAAACATGAAATTACTACTCTACCCTTAATTGGTTTAGTGGTGGACTTGGTAATGTTAGGTTATGGTTGGACTGGATGATCTTAAAGGTCTTTTCCAACCTAAATGATTCTATGATTCTATGATAAAGTACCCATTGCTTCTTTAACATAAATCAGTACTTTCTTACTTTCTTAGTGCAATTATGCTCACTACACTCACTCCTTGACAGATTGCAACACTTTTACAGGCAAATACAGTTCTTCATCTGAAATACTGCAGTATGATATGCATTACTCATTACCTTAACAGCATTTTCTTTGAATGTTGCCTGTCACCGCAGCAACTCTATTTCCTGCAAGGAAATTGGATGGATGTTCCAAAAAGGGAATACATTTCAAAAAGGTATTGAACACTGAAGACCCAAAGGAAGCTCATCTTCAACACTGATTTACAAACCAGTGAATTCAAAACCTGTCAGTACTTGTAATACAGCCACTAACAAGCTGAATTGCATGATGTCTGGGCTTGCCAAGAGGAAACTGGGGATCCTTTCATTTCTCTCAGCTGTGTGCCTTCTGTGCTATCTAACTTCAAATACTTAATCCATCTTCCAGTTTACTGTCTGAGTTCAATTAGAGATACCACTCTGAAGGCAGCACTTGAATGATAAAAATAAAAGGCCAAGAGAAGAAGAATTTGGTTTCCTCCATCACTGACACAGTACAAGTGTAGTGTATCAGTGCACATCTGGAACACTTTGTGCTATTGCTGAGACAGTGTAAACTGCAGAAAGCACAAGCAAAGTTTCAGCAATACAAAGCATCTTTAACATCGACTTCTCCTTACTTTTCTTCTTCATGAGTATGCTTCTTTCTTTCATATTTCCCTGCCTTTCAGCTTAATTTACTGCAGGCTTTAAAAGGCATAATTTGATGGCAGTAAAGCTGATGAAAGTATAACACAAAGCACATCTTATCCTAAAGAAATCTAGTAACTAATATTAAAAACTGTCAAAGAAGTTACGAGCATGATGATAGAACAAAGAAAAAGATACCAAAGTAGGTAACACCTCCTGCTAGTTCTATTTCAGCTTGACAGCAAGAAAAGGCCACAGTGGGAAGAAAGAGAAGCCAGGTGACCTAACCTTATCAGAAACCTGCAGCAATGGTAGCAGCAAGATAGGAAAAAGCCACCAAGAAAATTTAAGGAAACAGATTTGGGTAAAGCACGCTTTCCTTTTGATGACTCCTGCATGTGCATGGAGTGCAGAGATGATGAAACCTATTGAATCATTCAGCAATGGCTGCATTCTCATTGAGCACAGAAGATGCCTGTAGAGACTAAGGAAGATCCACCCTCACCTTATTCCCCAAGGTAATAGGACAGACCACAAAGAATCCTCCTCCTCTTCAAAATCTCATCTAGGTCAGCCATCACTTGCCAGACAAGTGATGTGATACCAAGACCATCTGATAAACTGAGGCCAAGCAGCACATGCAGGACTTCATAATACACTTACGTGGTTTGGGAAGGGAGACTTACATGGGAAATGAAATCTAAAATTCAATATACACATCTCTTATGCCTTCTGGCTAGATCTCTGCAGCATTTTCAAAGTGGGCATGCCCCACATTTGGGGACATGCTGCCTTACAGCTCCTTTTCCAACTCTGGAACAAAGGTGAGCACAGTGAACAACCAATTCAACTGTAATTGTTGACTTTCATTTATTCCTCAGGACAACTTGAACACCGTTATCTGCCTGCATCTAATGACAGCCCTGCTTCATAGAGGGAGAGAGGTGAAGAGCTAAAAGACAAGACACAACTGCTCCTGTAGAGTAGTAGGTGGAGAGGAAATGAAGGAGCAGAAACGGTATGGACAGTGAAGCAAGAAGAAGGAATTAACAAGGAGACCAAAACCGGAACCACAATAAGGGGCAGAATGGCTTATAAAAAGCAAAACCCATCAGCAACAGTATGTATCAACTATAGACCAGAACCAGATAGCAGCAGGAAAGACAAGAAAGACTTAATACACAACTGCAACAAACGTTCCTAAATTCTGAACCCAGTTTTTATTTTTAAATGCTTGGCTCCCACATTAGCCATTGGAGTGGGGCCCTCTCTCCCCATGGACAGATTTCTGAAACTGTGCTAGTCTGACAGTCTGCCTGCCAGACTTCTTTCAGTTTGATGAAGCACCACACCGCGCTGTTTAAATCATCCATAGCTAACAGAAGGTTACAGATATGGAGACTCTAGCGAAACCCAAACCCAAACAACTGCAGCTGAAACTATGCCTTGTACTTTAATCCCATACAGAAAGAAAAGTCTCCAAACCCCAGTCAGGGTGTAGCCACAACCACAGCTGTGCCATTACATTAAGGCTGACATGCAGAACTGCCCTTTCTTCTAAAATTCACATTACTACAATATGTAAAAGCTACAAATGAGTAAACAATGACGCAGCGTACCCTAAAAATGGAAAGGGAATAATTTTCCTTCCCTGCCCTGACCTCAGCATTCAGGCTAGTGATTCTTAGTGCTTACATTCTCTGATAAAACTAAAGGACAAAGTGGATTCCCTCTCATTTATTTCATACAGAGCGCCTGCCCAATTACCACCATGTCAATACACGGTAAATTACTAGGAGTACAGACAAGCATCAACATGACAAAACTGTAATAACTTGCATGAAAGTAGTGCAGTACCAAGCATTATACTTATTTGCCAACTAGCTGTTTCAGAAGGCAGATAACATCCCTTATGGACAAATCCAGACCTCCTTTTTTCCAAAACTCTCCAAATGTTTAACGTGACTCCATCTGGCTTGGACAACAAGGAGCAGAGAAAAACAAAGTCTTTCTTAAAACAATCTATTAACACCTCACAACAACAGCCCCCTCTCCCCACAGCATACCATAAAACATATCACGGCAATTATCCTGCAACTAAAGAACAGTAGTATCCTCCCTGATCTTATTAGAAAAAGTTCTCAGAAACTTTTGTCCGGCACTTCCAAATTAATTTAAGAGGGGATGCCCCATCCATCACTTAATAGTAACATGATGCTTTTACAACCAGCAGCAAGAAGTAACACACGTTAGGACATGACAAAGACCCAGTTACAGGCTTCCACAGCAAATCCTCAGCAGCAGAACGGATTTAAATATCCTGGGAGGGCAAGTCAGGAGCTACAGATCCAAGTATAAAACTCTCTCTCCTAATCCAGACAGTGAGATTATGTTTTGGATGGAAAGAGCCAGTGCTCTGAATTCTCTCTCTCCTGTCACCCCCTGCCCCTGCCATATGCTGCCACTTCTTTTCTTTACTATCAGAAGTGGTTAGGGTTTCTCTTCCCACCCACCAACTGCTTCATTCTCTCCCTGGCAGGCAGCCAATTCCTCGGGCTGTGTGCATTAACACCCTGCAGCCCATAAAGTACTCACTCTGAGCTCTCGCTGCTGCTGCCAGTCACAGAGCTGCTGTCCTGGTTGCCCTGGCCCAAAACCTGGACCCCTAAAGACCTGACGGCCCGCATCAGAATTGCCTCCATCGCTTCAACTGAGAGCTTCTCCAGGACGATCACCCGGCATCGGCTCAGAAGAGCGGCGTTGACTTGGAAGGAAGGGTTTTCTGTGGTTGCTCCTATCAGGGTCACCATCCCACACTCAACGTGAGGAAGGAAAGTGTCCTGAGGATGGGAGGGAAGCAGAAAAAGCTGATCTCAATCAATGACAACCTCAAACAGCCCATGTGAGTAGGCTACGTTTTTTGTGTCTTGTGAGTCTTTGTGTTCCCTGCTGATATGACAAATAACCTCACTGACAAGGCAGCTCAACTATCTAAATGATTTAATTCCACACACACACAGCATGTTATGGACTGTTCATCTTAATAACCTGTGCTTGCACTGAGAATGACCTTACCAGCTGAAAAGAAACAGTGTCAAAAATCTGCAAATTTTTAGTTTATTTATGTGACTTTGGTTTATTGCTTGGCAAACATAAGATACCATGAAACTGATTTATCAAATATAACAAATAGTGAGGCTACTTGTAAATACTCTTTGAATCAATCTTCAGGGCTACAGTTCCCTAGATTAAGTCTATGGGATGGCTCAGAAAACTATAGGAAGATTGGAGTATGATTTGACATAGAAACTGCAACCTGTAGTACAGAATCCAAGCCTTTGTTCATATGACTATGGTCTCTCTTTTTTTTGAATAGTATTATGGTCTTTTCTCACATAGAAGAGGGGAAAACACTAAAACCAAACACCCTAGGCACATCCACATTCCAGACCTTTTTAAAGGTAATGCAGAATGCTGCCCCCGGGGAGGAGGCTGAAATGAAGATATGTATGGCAAACATTACTAACATGACTTTGCAGAAATAAAATTTCAGAAAAATGTCATATAAAGCCCAGCACATAAGTCAACAGTAAGTATAGCTCAGACTTTTATTTAAATCTTTGAATCACAATAATTAAACATTGATTGGAAGTTAGTTACGGAATTTCATTTTTATGTTTCTCCCTAATTCATTTACTAAAAACATTAACATTAAAATCAAAAGCCCGAAGTAAACTATCATCTTAAGGCAAAGTGGGAAATTTTACAAAAGTGCTGACAAAGCCTTTTTCCAAAAAGCGGTGTAGTACAATACCTGCTGAGATTTATTGAAACGATGGATCTCATCAATGAAGAGGATGGTTTTTCTCTTGAAGAGTCTTTTTTCATTCTGGGCTTGGCTGATGACATCTCGAACATCATTTGTCTTGGCACTTGTGGCCGACAGTGTCACAAACCTCGTGCCGTTCTTTTTGCTGCTGTTGGCTATGATGTGTGCCAACGTAGTCTGAAACAGCAATAAGAAAAAGCTTTGTAAAAATCATGTTAGACACAGGAAGTACTAATTTGAAGGAAACAGGTAAAGAACAAAGCTGTATGTGTTGACAGTTTATAGAGTAAGGTATTTTAGTTCATGCTACTCTAGCACACAGAAGACTTAAAAGCTTCCTGCTAGAGGTAGCTGCCAATTCCACCGCTGCATTTCTAATGCCTGCACTTTTACATACCAGACCTATTCAGCTGCAATACTGAAAAGGCCAGCAATGACAGCTGTCTCCTTTACCACGGAAGAACAACTCTTCGCCAAACATATTTCTGTCACAGAAGATGGGCTGACTGCAATTCCCTGTGCCGTTATTTTGTAAAGTGTGTTAATGGATAAAGAACAGGACTACCCCAAGACACCTGCAGGAGAGTTTACAGTGCAACCACATTTAAGAAATAAAAAGCTACAATGTTGTTAATTAAAACCTTTTCTATTTCCACTGCACATAAAAAATAAAATAGTCAGAAAGCAGGTTCTCTACAAAAGCATGAGAATGTCAGTACTGAAAAATTATATGTATACTTAAGAAAATGTAACTCTTTAAATCTAAATAGTGAACAGTAACCAAATGCTGGCCCAGGGAAGTAAAAGGCAGCTGACTGAACAAACTGTTGGCTGATTTTAGTAAGCAGCTATGTTGTTTTTCTTTCCTTATAGACAACTCCTTCAAATCAGAATTTATTTATAGGGAATGTCTCTGAGCCTACCAAAGCAAAGAAGCAACCTCCAATACTACCTCCCAGGCAGATTCACTACACCTGAACACAGCACAGGCATTATTTTCAGACTTTCCTTCATAAACTTTGGTAAAAGCAAGTGTTGTATCTGCATGTCCCAAGCAGAGTGTATCTCTATTTGAAAGGACTGCTAGAGAAAAACAGGTGATTCTTCCATTGAGCTCATTCTTCTATTAAAGGAGCCCACGGAGACTGAAGACAGGAGAGCCTCAGCAGATGAGGAGTGGGACAGGTGCCGACAAAACTGCTTCAGAAGATATTCCAAGTACTGAGGTTAAAGCAGCAGCTGCTGCCAACCTGATCCTCTTGCAGGGAGGCTACAGAAGCAACCACCTACCACAGGGCTATCAGTGGTGTTGGCAGGACCTCATTCAGTGCCCTAACAGCACTGCTCTGTCTCTTTAATGGATCTCCTTGTCCCTGAAATGGCAACCAGCCCAAGATGGGGAAAGTGAGGCTAAGGGGGAGGATGTATCACTATTTATTCTTGCTTTAGTTTTAGTAAGGGCTTCCTGATTGTCTTCAGAAGAGGTGTCATTTCATGTCCTGATACAAGACTTGCATCCCGTGTCAGATCCTCTCTCACCCCCTGGTGCTCAAAGCACCAGCCCCTCCCCTCCTCATATTGCTGCAGAAGACAAGACTGGAAAGACATGCTGGAAAGTGCTTGCAGCAAAGCCTACAGAAGTCAGGAAGGTCTGGGAAACCAAAAAACAAAAGCAAAACTATCTTTGAAACTAAGCTAACAAAATAAAACCAAAGTTGGTGTTTCCTTACAAAGAGGCCTTGATTCAGAATGTACCTTCAGAGTATGTACCCCTGCCTTAAAAATCACTGAAAGCATGGAAACCCCCAGTACATCTAATTTGAGGATGAAAAAGGAAACATGTACCTCTTTCTTCTCTAAAAGTGGTGATGGGGCAGATCAAGTGGCTATTCTTCTTGTAGCTCCACTTGACCTGGTAGCTCATACAGCATCCTGGCTGCCATTTACCAGGTCACAGATAGTTTTGTTGTTTAAACAAAAGCAGTGAGGAACTGTTTTTAAACATATGCACAGGAATCCATATTTCTACCCCTAATTTAGGAAAAAAAAAGCCCCAGAGAGATTTGTTTGAAAGTTACTATTGGACCAAGCATCTACTTGAAAACTGCTGCACAGCGCTCAGCCAGCATGTACGCCTCCTTCTCTGCCAACTTCTGGGTCAACGAAGGTTATAAGAATAACATACATTGCCTTTCAAAAGCAGTGCTCAATACTGACAGACATGTTCATGGCCTCTTCTTTCTGTTCTGCACAGTCAACCATTCAGCAAGTCAAACTGCACATCACATGTAGGTTGAACTTCCCCCATTCTTCTGAAAGCCTCTTACTTCCCATGACCTCAATTTTTTTACACTGCTTTTTCTCCTACCACCTCAAGCAAAAGTCAGTAATACGCTACACTGTTTTCTCCCTCTTTGTTACCATCAGGCTACAACCTAAGGAACATATAACCCAGTGGAGACTTAACTTAAGCAAGGTAGCCTAAGTATGAAGGCACTAGCACAGAACTGCAACTAGTATGCTAAACCCCTAGTTTCTCTCACTAAATTCAGGGGCAATGTATTTGAGGGATAATAAGAAAATTAAAAATCTGATATGGAATAAGCCAGAAGAAAACACACTGAATATCCTTCATGATCTGAAATAAATTTTGAAGTAGGTTTGATTGTTACATTAGGAAAAAAGTCTTTTAAAATAGTGACACTGATATTGCAATTTAATATGAATGAATACGTCCATGTCAGAACCAGCATAACAAGCAGGAAGAAGAAATCTAAAGTTAGTATTCTGCTCCTTTACTTTACAGGTGTTTCTTCTTTAGATTGTGTTTTTTCCTTATGGGGAGGACCAGAAGTACTGTTTCCCATAAATTGTTATTTATATCAATGAGAAGTGATCCTGCAAACTAACCTTTTGCTAACTTCACTAAAAATTACACCTTACAAAGCTCACAGTGTAATAGCCTTGCCCCCTCGAGAAGTCATTCTCATTTATCTTCCATTATCCCACCAAACTGTCCAAACTCACACTCACCATCTCAAGTTTTATGCTGAAAATTGCAAGACCTTACTGACTTATCTGTTTAGACAGGCTAAAGAAGTGCCATCATAAGGAGCCGTTCTGAAACATGAAAACATATTCACCAAGAAACTCACAAACCATTACTCACCAATGAATAACACTTTCAACTGGAGCCTATGGGCACTTACTTCCAGATGCATTACACACAGAACAAACACTTAACTACTGAAACTCTCCTCCACCATCCTGCAAATTTCTTCATGTCAGCCCAAATGAGAATATGCTTTCCCAAAGGCTGCAACCATCCGAGATTTACAAAAACCCACCAACCAACCAAAAAAATAGCCAAACAGGCCCACTCCCAGCAGTGCTACCAGTTCTTTCAAGCTTTGATACAAGTTCTGGATGAAACAGAAGTAAACCACAAAGTGTGCTTGGCTCCACACACCTCTCGCTGTCAGAGCAGATAAGTCACTTGGATTTGCTGTTTTGGTTAGTTGGATGTTTGTACTAGGAGACAAGAATTTTCTGTATATCCACAAATTTCCTTGACTGAGCAACTCTCTTTGAGTGTAACCTATTTCCCTATTCCCTGCACAGCCCCTAGTCAATGCAACCTCACACGCAATGGCTGGAAGAAAATAGTAAAAAGCAAGTACAAATTAAGCCTGTCCTATCGATGCTGATGTTCAATGACTAACATTACCTGCTTAGAAGGTGGTCTTTTCATTTTTGCACCTCTTTACCAGGCCGTTAAACCATGCCCACTGCATTAGCTCACCAAAGCCCCTTCCAGGAATAAAGAGTGGTACTGCCTAGTTCACTTCAGAAAGTGGAATTGAAACAACTGGGAAGAGATTAGTGCATATGGTCAGATCATAGTCAAGAAGTTGACTGTGAAACCCAAGGTCATTCTTACCTCATTCCTGTGGAAGATCTGGTAGACCTTGTTTAGGGATCTGCCTATGGTTGCCTGTTCACGGAGACTTTCCTTATTCATTCCTGAATTGCATAAATTTTGCAAAACAGCTGTTGTAGATGTCAGTCACAGAACACACATGGTCTCTATCTCTAGACTGTGTTCAGCAGTCACATCAGAGAGCTCCTGCAAGGTGTGCAGAGCAGCTCATAGTCGTTCTGTTCCAGCCTCACAGTCCTTTTCACCACTCACAGCCTTTTCATGAGGAATTGACATTCATACTACATTTTATGGGACCACACTGGTGCAAGAGCTCTCCTTGTACCTGGATGGTCTCTTCCGACACATGTGCTTCTCCCAGCAAGTCTGGAAGGCTGCATGATCTGCTAGGCCATGTTTAGGTGACCAAAGCAGATCTGGCACAGATGTGCACAGACTGCAGTGCAGCATGGATTATTCCTGAGCAGGGATAATCTGGTTGGCATCTGGTTCCCCACCAAGTGACTTTGCTGGTTTGTTCCAGAGCAAACCACAGTGTGAATTATGTTTGCGGCAGGGATGACAAAAGACTGACAGCCTAGTGCAAAACACAAGCCCAACAGCCTAGCTGTTGGGATCTAGCAGGATCTAAATTGCATTATCAGAGTTCTCAACTGGCATCCTGCTTTTTTCTGCTGCCCTCTGACCATGACTTTTCCTGTATTTTTGCCTCTTCCTTTATTCTGGCCAGGATTTCCGTATCTTTGCTTATGTGGTGTTGCCATCAACAGCCTCTCCTCACCCTCAACCCTCCCTTTGAGGGCAGCAGGGCCATACTGTGGTCGACAAGCAGTCAGGAAAGGCCACTCTCAGTTTCACTGCTCTGAGTGAGACACCCAACCGTGCCAGCATCCTTGCATGCCAGCCAGGGGAGCAGTTCCCTGTGATGCAGCTTAAAAAGCTGGGGTCTGTGCTACCCAACACTGCTGAGCTGACCCCAAGCTACCACACTGCATCACAGGAGATGAGCCAGGCTGTGTTTAAAGGAAACTGGCAGGATAGCAGATGAACTTGGCCCAGGGACACTGTCTATAGAGATAAAGGCAATCAAAAGTGGCAGCAGTTGGCACATATGTAAGGGCAGATGCTATTCTTACCCATCTTGTTTGGTTTCTCACATCCCAAATAGCCCACTGTGAGACTACTGGAGGAGTAAGGTGTCACTGAACAACAGCCACAGCGTGTGGTTTACAGCACT